ACCAACTACTCAGGCAAAAAAGCAAATGTTATTATTTAGCCTCATTTGTTTCAGAAGGATTTTAAGTTATACTCAAGCCAAAATAACCAAATAAATTTAATCAAACTCAATGCTAAAATAAACGGGATTCATAAACAAATGCAAACTGGAAATATTTTGAAGTTATAACTCCTAAAAAAGCTCCTCCTGTAAATGAATTTCAAAATTTCATAATATTAACAGCCTTCCTTCCCTACAGAACTGAACATTTCACTTTAAAATATGAACATAATGCTATTTAAAGGATTAATTCCTTATTTCTCCCTTCTGTCAAACTTCTACCTTGAAAATGCTTTGCCTAAAATGTAAAACAAGACCAGGTGACAGCACTAAAAAATAATTTAACACATAATTAAATGATTTCCTTTGCCTTAAAAGATCAAAATAAAACTATGTATTCCTGGTTCTAGAAGGATGTCAAGAGCAGTGGCATAGTTTTGAGTTTCCCTAAACCCCTCCCTCCAAAAAGGACAAAAAGCAATGAGGAAAACAAATGCAAAATTTATCAACATGTACAACAAAATGAGGTGGCCAGTACTTTAACTAACAGTAGTGCAGTAGTCACTCAAATTCTTCCACAGATTGTAATTATAAAAATTGGATAAAAAGAATTTTAAAATAACATTTAAAGACAATGAAAACCGTCCAAACACAGACAGAAGCCTGCTTGGAGATTAAGATTTCAATTGTCAAAAAATTACAGCCATAGGTCGGGCACAGTAGTTTATGCCTGTAATCCCAGCACTTTGGGAGGTTGAGGTGGGTGGACTGCTTGAGCCCAGGAGTTTGAGACTAGCCTAGGCAACAGGAAGAAACCCTGTCTCTTTACTAAAAATACAAAAAATTAGCCAGGTGTTGGTGGCACATGCCTGTAGTCCCAGCTTCTTGGGAGGCTGAGGCAGGAGGATTACTTGAGCCCAGGAGGTCAAGGCTGTGGTGAGACATGATCATGTAACTGCACTCCAGCCTGGGTGACAGAGCAAGTCCGTGTCTCAAAACAAAACAAAACAAAACCTCTAATATGCTCAGATGTTGGATTTAGCAGATTGAGACTTCCATTCATCAATTATATATATACACGTATATTGTTCAAAAAACTGACAGAACAAATGTTCAAAGAATTAAAGAAAAACATAATGAGTAAACAGATAGGAAATATCAACATAGAAATGAGAACTATACAAAACAGAAATTCTAGAGCCAAAAAGTATAATAATTGAGATAAAAAATTCACTAGATGAGCTCAACAGAAAACTGGAGATAGCAGAAGACTCAGTGAACTTGAAAACAGATCATGTGTAATTACTCAATCCAAAGTATACAGAGAAAAACAATTTAAAGAAACAAACAAGCAAGCAAACAAACCAAACCTCAGGACCTATAGGAAAATGAAACAGCCCAACATAATGGTAATTTAGAATAAGAGAGGTATAAAAAAAGGCCAAAATAATTGAAAAAAAAATAATGGCCCAGACTCCCAAATTTGGTAGTAAACATTAATTCACACATCCAAGAAGCTAACTGAAATGGAAGCAGGAAAAAATACAAATAAATCTCCCCTAGGCATAATAAAAGTGCTGAAAGCCAAAGATAAAGTAAAAGATTGGAAAGCAGCCAGAGAAAAACAACATGTTATATATGGAGGAGGAATATGGTAAGTCGCTGACTTCTCATCAGAATATCAGAACATAGACAAAGTGCTGAAGGAACAGATGTAAAAAAAAATTTCCAGGTAAGCAAAAAATGACATAATTTGTTGCCAGCAGACCTACATAGCAAGAAGTGCTACAGGAAGTTCTGCAGGGTAAAGGGAAGGAATACCAGATGACAATTTTGATACAAAAGAAGAAATAAAAGGGCAACAGAAACAGTAAATACACAGTAAACGTAAAAACAACCCACCACTACCAAAGTTTGTTCTTCTTTTAATTTCTTTAAAAGATAGATAACAGTTTAAGGCAAAATAACACCACTGACGGTTTAATAACCTATATACCATCTGTATATCTTTTTGTACAGTTCTGGATTTGGGGAAGCATATTTAAAAGTAAAAATCAATAAGGATAAAGAAAAGTCGAGTGGGGGAGACTAAAACTGAAAGCAATCTGAAATAAATAAACCCAACTATATTTTAAATGAACATCATAATCACACCAAAGAGGAAAAATGAATCTAACTAATTTAAGAACACAGTACGTGACCCTGCATTCCCTTAATCTTGGTCAGGGAGTATTACAAATGAATCCTAAACTCTAATGACCTTAATTAGAATCTCCTTCTACTACAATAAGTACAAGTGAGCCTAAATGTACTACTCTGGAGTATAGTACTCTCACACAACAAAACTTTATAGCACTTGCCTTCACTGACTATAATCTTATTTGTTTTTTAAAATTGTAACTGGTTGATAAAATCAGCTGCCAAAAAAGTATCCACTACATTATTCAATGTCTTTTCATAAAGATCTATGAAAAATCCCTCTTAGAATTTGGTGCCAAAATTTTTCTCCTAAATAATATGTACAATTTATCACAAAATAAGACCTAAGTATATGTGAAGTGATGCATATGTTAATTAGCTTGATTTAGCCATTCCACAATGTATACATATTTAAGTTTTTAAAACAAATTTAATTGTTTAAGAAATGAAAGAGCTAACTAATACATCAGATTTCCTTTGCTGCCTTAGCTGCCAGAAAACTGATCTCCCTTCCATGTTTTTGATCTAATATATCTTTCACTTAACTACACGTGGGTACATGTTTTCTTTGCAAAATACCTCAAATATCTCCTATCTTTATTTTATTGGAATAAAAGTGCTTAGTTTACAGAACTATGTCCTCTTTAGTTTGAATGAAGTTTATATGAAGTAATAAATAGAAGATAGACTATATATTTTAAAATAATCATCTTAACAATACAATTGCAACACGAATGTGAAATAATTTCAACTAGTAGTAGTACTACAAACAACTACTGAATTCACCTGCGGTAAAAAAACAAAAGCAAAAACAAAAAAACCGCGTTCATCAACTCAAAAAAACATGCAATTGTTCAGAATGGCTGCTTTTAAATAAATACTTGACAAAAGCAAAATATGAAAAACAATTTTTACAATACTGCCTTTAAAATTTTGTATATGAATTTCATAATTTTTATGTGCTGTGAAATATTCTATTAGCAAGAACACAAATGTATTCAATATAAAATATAACCTCTATACTCAATTACTTAATTGTATTATAGGTTAGAAATTTTAAAAAAGTCACATGTACCAAGTTAAGTGGTACAAACAAGTGTCTTAAAAATGGAGCCTGAGGCTAGTACACTTATACTTGGAATGATCAGGAGAGACATTAAGGAGGTAGCTTTTGAGCCAAACCAAGAAAGGCTGGTATCATGGAGCAGAGAATAGGGCCAAGACAGCAGCAGCTAGCTAGTCAACACAATGGGCTTGGTGCTTTAAAATATTTAAGTAGGAAATGGCAGACTACAGCTCACGGTCTAAATTCAGTCCACTGACTGTTTTGTATAACTTGCTGGCTACAAATGGTTTTTATGTTTTTAAATGATTGAAAAGTATCAAAAGAATATTTCACAACACATGAAAATTATGAAATTCATATACAAAATTTTACTGGCACACAGCCACACTCATTCTGTGACTGCTTTTGTACTGCAAGGCAGAGCTGTATAGTTGCAACAGTGACCGTGTGAATCACAGCCTAAAATTTACTATCTGGCTCTTCAGAGAAAAAGACTGCCAACACCTTCCCTTGGGAAGGCCTACACAGCTGAAGCACTACGAATGAGGAGGGGCTGGGCAGAGGATAGTGAGACTGAAGCTGGAGAGCTAAGAGGAACCTGCAGGTCATGGTGAGGATTTGGGTCCACATCTTAAGAGTAATGAGGAAGCTGTTAGAGTTTTAAGTAGGAGACTGACAATTCACTTGGCATTTTGAAAAGATCATTCTGGTTGTTATATTGGGGACCAGAGGACAAGGAGATATGAAGGCTACTATAGTAAGTAGTTCAAGCAAGATATGAATATAGTTTTAACTTTGGTGCTGCCAAAGTAAAACAAGGAGACTAGGCAAGATTATTTCTGAGATCTCTTCCAGTTCTAAAATGCTAAAAAGCCACAGTGGTTGCAACTTTCCTTGGTATTTCCAATTATCACAAACAATTTGCAAAACTGTTTTGCTAGGTGACAAAGATTCTTTGCTGGGCCAAACTTTATTGAGGTTTCTCAATCTTCTGCTATGCCCATCTGTGTACTTCCTATAAATTCCAGTTTTAGCAAAGTACTCTCCTAAGTCAGTTTAGCAAGAAACCCCTATCTTTGACATCTGATTGTCCTTTACCATCCCACTTGATATCTGATCACCCAGGACTGTTTTCAGCAAGAATTCTGTTTTTAGTCAAAATCCCCTTATCCTTGATGTTTCCTCTTAGTAAGTTCCCATCCATTGATCCCATTGCTTCTTGGCTATAAATTCCCACCTGCCCATCCTGTATTCAGAGTTAAGCCCAATCTTTCCCTGATTTCAAGACCTTGCTGCAGTGGCTGCTACACTTATCATGATGGTCTTGAATAAAGACTTCCTTACTATGCTTTAACAAGTATCACTGAGTAATTTTCTCTTTAACATAGGAGTATAGTACTCTCACACAACAAAACTTTATAGCCCTTGCCTTCGCTGGCTATAATCTTATTTGTTTTTATGCATCTAAAGAGTGTCGTAATGATTATAGAATAATGTCCCTCCTCCATTAAAGCACTTTCTAAAATATGATTTATATTTGTTATAAGTTAGAAAGGACTACTTTTATGATATTAAATTTACAATTAAGAAATTACAGATAAATAATACAATTTAAATTAACACACAACACAAATACTGCTTAGCAACATTTTCACTGAACTTCCGTAACTTAGTAATGATAAAACAAAGAACATACCTGCTACATTCTAACAATGTAACTTTAAAACGGCCTTCAGTAAGTGCCCATTGTTGTATATGGATATGCTCTTCATCTTCTTCAAATCCTTGCAAGGTTTGGTATGGAAAAAACGGCTTAAACCTGACAAAAGTAAAGATAAATCTAAATGTTTGAATAATAAACACCACAGTTTAAAGCATAATAACAAAAGCCACCTGTACAAAAACACAAAACAAACACCTCATATTATGTGTGCTCTACAAAACCAAAGTTTAACACACTCCCCCATAACTAGCAGCAAATGGTGCCCATAAGTCTTGGATTTTTTTTGGTATGACCCCATTGATAAAGCAAGAGAGAATAAAGAAAAGAAAAATCGAGAGAGGCAGCAAGTAGGACATGAAGTTTAGGTATGAAGTTTAGGTGGGGTAGGAGAGACACTCTTTGTGAACCAGATGGGAAGAGTATTCCTACAGTACAAGATTAAAATTCAGAATGCATGTTCCATGGAAATAATGTACAGTCCCCTTGGTATCCATAGGGGATTGATTCCAGGACTTCCCAAGGATACCAAAATCCGAGGATGCTCAAGACTCTCACATAAAAAATGGCACAGTATTTGCATTATGCACATTCTCCCATATGCTTTGAGTCATCTCTAGATTACTTATAATACCTTATACAGTGTAAATACTATGTGAATAGCTGTTAGACTGTATTGTTCAGAGAATAATGACAAGGAAAAAAAGTCTACATGTTCAGTGCAGATGTAATTTTTAATAAATATTTTCAATCCACAGTTGTTTGAATCCATGGATGCAGAATCCATGGATGTGGAACCCATGAACACAGAGAGCCGACTGTAAGAGATAGAGTACATGATAAAGATGATTGTAATAGCAACATCAACAACGATTAACACAGCAGAGGTATTCATTAGAGATGTTAACTATTTTCCGGGCAATATGCTAGATTTACATGTATTATCTTATTTAATGCTCACAACACTGAAGGGGCAATATTATTGGCTCCTCTGTCCAGATGAAAAGAACGAAGCTTAGAAAGGTTACCAAGTTTGTTCAATTTTACAAAGTGAATGGCAAAACCAGAATTTAAGCTAGTCTGATTCCAAAGCCTAACTACATAACACTTCAGTTACCTATGAATTATTTAGGCGCTCATGTGCTCATCACTAATATCATTGTTTTTATGGACAAGTTTGTGCTGAGTTATAAACTGTAGGTTTTAAAAAACTTTTAAAGCACAACCCATATTCCTCCATTAAAGCTAAAGAAAAAGAAAATGAAAGAAAATTGGGCTTAAAGACCTGTGATTTTCAATTCACCCTATACATTGTCGCTAGCCATGATATCTGCTTGCTCAGAAAGTTTTAATGGCTTCATACTGACCACACACAGACACATGTAAAGATGGTCAGAAGTTCTTGGTTTCACATTCGAGGTCCACCACAACTGATCTTCCTTTCCTTCTTGTTTTTTTTTTTTTTGGCGACAGAGTCTTGCTCTGTCGCCCAGGCTGGAGTGCAGTGGCGCAATCTTGGTTCACTGCAACCTCCACCTCCCTGGTTCAAGTGATTCTCTTGCCTCAGCCTCCCAAGTAGCTGGGATTACAGGCACGCACCACCACACGTGGATGATTTTTGTATTTTTAGTAGAGATGGGGTTTTGCCATGTTGGCCAGGCTGGTCTCCAACTCCTGACCTCAAGTGATCTGCCCACCTCAGCCTCTCAAAGTTATGGGATTACAGGTCTGAGCCACCATGCCCAGCCCACAATCTTTCTAATCATATATTCCCTTAATATAAATCTTCCAATATAGAAAGTCACTTTATATACCCAGAAGACACTATGAATATTCCTGCCATCAGGCCTTTTGTACCAACTAGGGGTTTCCCCAGGTTCCTCAAAGCCTGTCCAAATCCTCCCCTCTTTCATATTCAGGCATACATGCTGCTTTCACTCTTTTCTATCATGCAGTCCTCTAAACTGCTGTACATTTATGCCTTAAAATGTCAAATATGAGCTACTCTCACAATTTTCTGCATCCACCACATACCTGACAGGATACTTCACACACTATCAGGATTTGAGTATGTGTTGTGCTGATTTACAAATGGTTAACACTAAAACTGAAATAAACACTTAGAAAACATCAATAGCTTACTGTGGTTTATACTGAAAGATACTAATAGAAGGGGTTAAATGCTGTTTTATGTTTTCTCAGTAAATAAGATGACAGGAAAAACTTTAAGGAAACTTTAAGTAGGGACACAGACAATGCTCAATGCTTTTATCTTGTTTCTGAATTAGTATGGAAAACATAAAGCCCCCTCAGTTTCTCCCAACTAAAATGCTAATTTGCATCTGAAGTAATTTGATTCAGACAGACTGGCACCAAATGCTTAGAGGAAAAAAAACTAGTAACTAAATTTATATCAATATAATGTTGTAGCTGAGTGCTTTTCATACAGCCCTTATGACTCCTGAAAAACATATAACTGTTACCTTATAAAAAAAATTATAATCATCATATACACTAGAAATTTTGAATTTAATAATCCAAATTAGCTAAATCATACCTGCTCTAAGAATCAAATTTTCTTGTCAAATATGAAATCAAAATTCAATTAAAAACAAATGTCTTACAGGAGTATGAGTTAAATGTTACATGGAGTAGAGTCTAATTTGGGTTTATTAATGCCCAGGGGGTTTTGCTAAGAGTGTTTGTGCACAAAAACAATTTAAAATCAGAACAATGTATTCCATTTTAAATGAATATACTAAATGGTGGGATAAAGCATAAACATGTTTGGCAAGCCAATAAATAGAATCCACACATTAACATTCTCTAAGAACATTTGGTTTTCAGAACTTTTAAGTCCAAGTCTTTAAGTATCCCAAACCCATGAAGAATCCAAGCAATGAAGCAGGCCACCTCTATCACTTTCTTTTATCTTCCTATCCCAATATGTTCTTCAAAATCCATTAGCCTTTATTTCCTATTAACCTATTAACTCAAAAATGTCATTTTTCGGCCAGGCACGGTAGCCCACGCCTGTAATCCCGGCACTTTGGGAGGCCGAGGCAGACGGATCACAAGGTCAAGAGATCTAGACCATCCTGGCCAACATGGTGAAACCCTGTCTCTACTTAAAATACAAAACTTAGTTGGGTGTAATGGCGCAAGCCTGCAGTCCCAGCTACTCGGGAGGCTGAGGCAGGAGAACCACTTGAACCTGGGAGGCGGAGGTTGCAGTGGGCTGAGATCACACCAGTGCATTCCAGCCTGACGATTCAGTAAGACTTGGTCTAAATAAAAAAAAAAAAAGTCAGTTTTCTCACTCAGGCTTCCCCCCTAAAATAACCTTAACAAACTACCTGTGTTTCCTCCCGTGGAAAACATAAAAACCCAAACTAGGAAGATCGACTTTAAGGAAGACAGTATGAGGAGCCCTGCTGACCTGCTCCCCAGTGAAACTGGTGAAAATTATTTTAAACCAACACATTTACAGCCTCTAGAAATAGTCTTAAGAGTAAACAGCAAATTTAAAAAATCTACTTAAGAAAATCTACAAAAATTTTATAAGAAAAACAAGTCTGTGGTGTTTGAATCCTCTGTTTCTCCAACAAGCTCACGGTGGCAGAGACTTCACACCAGACTTCTATTGCCAGGAACACAGGGCTCCCTCACCCGATAGCTCTCAGTTGTGGGCTTTCTCCCTGGGAGAAGGAAGACATGAAGGTTTCTCCTCCAGCCTCCTGTCACTTGTTACTTCCAGGCAAGTTCAGTCAAGAGGAGGGGGCTTCCTTCACTGACCCAGCCCCTACTCATGGAATGGAAGGTCTACCTTGGGCACAGAACACTGAGAAAATCCTGACTGTCTTTGCCCTGGTTCATGACGAGGTGGTTTCACAATGGGAAAGGCAAAAAAAGAGAACCTCAGGCTACTTCATCTCCAATCTAGCACTCAGCTCCTAGAGTTGTGATATCATCCAGAAAGAAGCCTGCCTTAGTCTTCACCCCTAGCTCCAGAAGACCTGGTTCAGATATTTTGATGAGGGGAAAAGAAGGAGAGGGAGAGGCAGGCCAGAAAACAGATTCTTCAAATCTCTTCCTAAACAAATTAATTTCATTTACAATAGTCTGTGAAGAAGCTGAAAGGCACTATCAAGAACAATGGAGGTTGTGGTGAAAGACACATGTCTTCCTTCATGGATTTAAGGAAGACATATCCTAGGCTGCAGGCTGCTAGGCACCTAGTAGAGAAACAGGAAATAAGACAGTTGGGAGGAGCCCACCTGGGGTGAGAACAAATATCAAACACTGACCTAAGAAACTATTCCTGAAGGAGGCACAATTTGATTGGAATAGTTTGTAGAACAAATTATGCTCCAGGGTGCTGTTAAAAACAATAGATACTACTATGAAGACAGTTAACACTCGGGGAGGGGAGAGTATACTGTACTAAAATAATCCAGGCAATCAACCTAAAAACAGACAAGCAAATATCAAGCTCTGGGTAAGGGAGACCACTATCCAAGGTTGCTACAATATATTATCTCCCCTGTCTGATTTCCAAGAAAAAAGTTACAAGATGTACAAAGAAACAGAAAAGTATTACCCATACAGGAAAAAAAAAAACAAAAAACAAAAAACAACACACACTGCCTGTGAAAGGAACGAGATGTTAATTTAATAGATAAAGACTGAAAAATTTGTGGAGACCAAAGTTCTTATTTATAGAGGAAGCCTTCAGGTAATAGGTTTCAGAGAGAATACGCTGTAAAACGTTTCTTATCAGACTTAAAGTCTGTGTTGATGTTAAACATGTTTGAACAGACATGATTAAAGAACTACAGGGAGGTATTACGACAATGTTACATTAAATAGAGCGTATCAATAAAGAGACAGGAATTTTACACATATATAGAGAAAAAGAAACTATAAACCAAAAATAAAATTCTAAGGTCCCCTAACCATCTGAATGGATGACCTCCTCTGCCAAGGTACTCTTAAAATTTAATCTGAAAGAATGGTTCAAGCCATGATGAGAAATGGGGAGGGCACATGCCAGACATGCCTCATTATACCCCTCCAGCATTAATAATACAGGATTTATTAAGAAGTAATTTTTAGGCAGCTAGAAAGTGTGAAAGTTCTTGGTGGAATTTTCCTTTAATAAAAAGGAGTGCGCCCCCGCCCCCACCCTCAACCATTTCCTCTCTAACAGAAACCAGCCTGAGAAGTCAGGTATAACAGGCAAACTAGGAGCTTTTATAAGTAAATGCCAGCAAGCTGTACCTGGAAGTCAGGTACATTCAATATGGTGTCTACTCTCTTCTTTTCCTTGTCTCCTGCCATCTTTTCCTAGTCATCACATTTAGGGTATCATGGCAGCCTCCAGGTAAAACCACATAGAGGAATCAGGGCTGCTGCCAGGTGAAGGCCTTGTTTGTATAATAAAAGACGAGGGTGGGAGGGCCAGTCTTTCAGGGGGCTTTGTAAATGGTACACCTGGTCAACCCAATCCCCTGAGCCCTATGTAACTCAATCACCATCCCCTCAAGCCTCTGTACAAAACCAATTGTGTTCCACCGTAAATCAGAGACCCCCTTTTGGATGACCTGCTTTCACAGCACGAGGAAGCTTTTTCTCTCTCTTCCTTTTCTATTAAACTTTCCTCTCCTAAACCCACCCCTGGTGTGTGTCCGTGTCCTGAATTGTCCTGAATTCTTTCTCCACCAAGACCAAGAACTGGGGTATATAACTCAGACAATGGAGCCATTTCATTAACATCAACACAGACCAGGGACAGGCCTCATTATACACCTCCAGTATTAACATCACGCAGACTTTAAGTCTGATAAAAAACCGTTTTACAACCTATTCTCTCTGAAGCCTACTACCTAAAGGCTTCTTCTGTAAATAAGAACTTTGGTCTCCACAATTCTTGATCTTAACCCGGACATTCCTTTCTATTGATCCCAAGTTTTAGATAAACTCAACCATCAACCAGAAAATTTAAAAATCTACCTTTAAGGTAGAAGATGCCCCTGTCAAGTTGTCCCACCTTTCTGGACCAAACCAATGTACTTCTTAAATGCATTTGATTGGGGCCAGGTGTGGTGGCTCATGCCTGTAATCCCAGCACTTTGAGACGCTGAGGCAGGCTGATTACCTGAGGTCAGAACTTTGAGACCAGCCTGAACAACATAGAGAAACACTATCTAAACTAAAAATACAAAATTAACTGAGTGTGCTGGCACATGTCTGTAATCCCAGCTGCTCAGGAGGCTGAGGCAGAAGAATCGCTTGAACCTGGGAGGTGGAGGTTCTGGTGAGCCAAGATCACATCATGGCACTCCAGCCTAGGCAACGAGAGCAAAACTCTGTCTCAAAAAAAAAAAAAAAAAAAAAAAAGGATTTGATTGAAGTCTCATGTCTCCCCGAAATGTATAAAACCAAGCTACCAAGCTGCACCCATAATCACCTTGGGCACATGTTCTCAGGACCTCCTCAGGGCTGTGTCATAGGTCATGTCACTCATATTTGGCTCAGAATAAGTCTCTCCAAATATTTTACAGAGGTTGACACCTTTTTTCTGTGGACAAAACAAATGGAAATTCTGTAGTCAAAAAGTACAATAAACGAAATAAAAAAATTACAGAGGAATTCCTAACAGTACATATGAACTGGAATAAAAATTAGTGAAACCCATAAGGGAGAACCAGGAGAGGAAAGAGACAAGGCAGTAGAAAAAGTATTCCAAGAAATAAAACAGGCAGCCAGTAGGTCCTGAAGCCACAAGGATCAGATATTATATGATTCAATTCATATAAAAATCCAGAATAATTTATGGAGACAGAAAAGTAAATGAGGGGTTACTTAGGACTGGGGGTAGGTAAGGGATTAGGAGGATGATAGCTAAAGGTTATGTTTTCCTTTTCAGGCAATAAAAATGTTCTAAAACTGACTGTGGTGATGGTTGCACATATACGTGAATATACTAAAAGCCAATTAAATTGTAAGCTTTAAACAGGTCAACTGTATGACATAAGAATTATATTCCAATATAGCTGTTAAAATGAAAACCAATAACCCAGGTACCCAGAAATAATTTTTGTCACTGCTTTAATGTATAAATGTTTGGTTAGAATTGCTTAATACAGTGAGTTCCAAATTTATCTTCAAAGAATCAGTATGCCAGTATGTTCAGTTTCTATGCTCTTTGTTCTCCATTTTAAAGTTCAACTTCCTTGTTCCCTTCCTCTCCTTGCCTCTAATATCAGTAAACAACCTTCCCGCCAGCTCTAATCAGTAGTTCATATCTATATCCCTGGTCACCTGTTCCATCCTGAGTCACCGCTGGTCACCTGCTCTGTCCTGAGTTATCTCTGGTCACCTGCTCTGACCTGAGTCACCTTTAGTCACCTGTTCTGTAACCTTTGTTCCCTAACCGTCTTTCCCCATCACTCTGGCTTGTACCCCTGCTCTCTTTAAAATAGCCAACAGGAATTAGCTTAGACTGTGTGGTCCAACCCTAGCCAGCAGGGGAATGACACAGCAGTAGGGGTGACCCATGTCAGGGATAAGTCCTTCCTTCTCCTTCCCTGTTCAGGTGTGCTCTCACCATTGCTCCATTTGCAAGATGCACCCTTCTATAGAAGTGAAATTTGCCTTGCTGAGAAAATTTATGTTCGAGTGCTATTTCCTTTGTGGCAGCAAAAATTGGCTTCTAACAATTTGGTGGCCCATACAGGGAGCCCATTCTCCTCTGAGGAGCAGGCCTCTGGTTGCCTCTCGTGGGGAGACGTGTCCCATTGCCTCATTGTGGTGGCCTCAGGATGAGAGATTATTTGTACCTGGTGTGACAAATAAACCCAGACTCTCAGCAGTGCAGAAAGAAACTGGCCGGTGACCTGGGGGAAAGGATCCTTGCATACCATAGCGACCAAGTAACTCTGTGCACAGACCAAGGTAAGAAATGTCATAAAGGCGATAAAGTATTTCCTTGATAGTCCAGATATTCTGGAGGTTGAATGTTGGTCAGGATATTCTGGAGGTTGAATGTGGGTGTGAATGATCACAAGCACTACTGCTTGAGGTGCTGCTTCTGTGAATGGTACTAAGCACTAGTGGGTCCTATCTGTGGTTCCATGGTCACCTCGTGCAGCTTAAGGCAGATCCTGCTGTGGGGTTTATACCAGCATGCCGATGCCAAGAGGGACCTAGATCTTCTCTGGGGGAGCAGCCAGAGTGGACAAAGTGCAAGAAGAATGCAAGGAGCCTCCAGCAGGTGGGACTCAAGGATAGGTGAGACATTTCCGATATGAGAGATTGAGCCTAACCGGTACCCAATATGGGAAATACCCCAAGCAAGACAGGGGAAAGAAGGATAAAGATGGTAACAAGGATAGCCCCCTAGGTCTCATGTTAAAATACTGGAAGGATAATGAAACAACTAAACATAGAAAAAGTAACAAATGATAAAATATTGCTCTCTTATTTGGACTCAGGGACCCATCCTCAAACCCTGAATCTTATGGCCAAAGTTTGGGTTGAATGAGGATGTAATGTGTCAGCATCTAATTCAATATGTTAACGTTAAAAGTCCAGTTTCTCAAGAAAAAGTGGACTGTGCTCTTTGTTGGAGCCAGGGACCTATCCTTTTTCCCTTGAAAAAAACTAGGGAAGAACCCAATCTGGCACCTCAAAATGAAAAGTCAGAGAAGCCAGTGCCCATGACTAGACTCTAGTTCATGGGATCCCCTAGACCATCTCCCCCCACTCAGTGTCCCCAATCCCTCTCCCCAGGTAGTTGCTGCCACCCCATATCTGATTCCAGATCCTTCACCGGCCCATGTTATCCCTCCTCCTTATAACCCTGACTCTTGGGAATTACTATACCACAAGCCTGTTCCCTCCCAGTCCAAATGCCCTTCTCTAAAAGGACTCCAGTGGAAGGTAGAATAATGTAAAAGGCATATTCAGAATTTCTCATTTCCCTCCGCACTTAGGGAGTTAGCCCCGACTTTCTTCCCCTTAAAGGAGGTGCCTCAAGGAGGGGGAGCTATATTGGCTTTGCAAATGCTCCCTTGACCAGTTTAGAAGTCCAGAGTTTAAATAAGGAGCTTAAGCCACTACTAGATGACCCTTATGGAGTGGCAGATCAAATTCATCAATTTTTAGGACCTCAGCTATACACTTGGGTCAAGTTAATGTCCATCTTGGGCATCCTCTTTTCAGGGGAAGAAAGAAGCATGATTTGTAGGGCTTCTATGGTCGTTTGGAAATGTGAGCATCCTCCCAGTCATAATGTTCCTGTTGCAGACCAGAAATTCCCCACCCGAGACCCCTGGTGGGACAGTAACAATGCAGATCACCAGGAAAACATTCAGGACCTAAGGGAGATAATAAAAGGAATTCAGGAATCAGTACCCCAAACCCAAAATCTTTCTAAAGCATTTGATATGCAACAGGAAAAGGATGAATGGCCTTTGAGATTCCTTGACAGACTGAAAGAGCAAATGAGACAATATGCAGGCCTTAATATGGACGATCCCCTAGGGCAAGGAATGTTAAAACTCCAATTTGTCACTAAAAGTTGGCCAGACATTTCAAAAAAATTACAAAAGATAGTAAATTGGGAAGACTGTCCCCTACGTGAACTTCTCAGAGAAGCTCAAAAGGTATATGTGAGGAGAGATGAAGAAAAGCAAAAACAAAAGACAAAATTTGTGTTATCCACCTTCCAACAGATGGCTCCAAAACCATGTACTTCTAAATAGAGCTTCCAGGGAGCCAGAAACCATAAAGGGTCCAAACCCTTCTTTAAACGACCCCAGCCTCCATCTGGAGGACCATGACCCTCAATTACTAGGCCCCCTAAAGAGTATGGGGGAGCAAGGTCAAAGAATCCCAGAACTGAGAGAAAGGAAGGGCAAGATAGGTGCTACAAATGTGGAAGAACGGGTTGCTTCAGGAGAGAATGTCCTGATTTAAGGAGAAAGAAGCCCTTCCACTCATTACTTTTAAGGAAGAATAATGGGGCCAGGGGCTCTTTTATCTTGAGTACCACCAGGAGCCCTTGATGAATTTAGAGGTGGGACCTAAACATGAGTTTATCACCTTTTTAATCATCTCTGGAGCAGCCCATTCCTCCATTTGCTTCTCACCCCCTTATATTGCCTGTTCTTCAGAAGACCTTTTAGTCTCTGGGATAAAAGAAGAAGGGTTTAAAGCAAAAGTTTAGAGAATACAGAAGTTAGACACTAGGATTGATCAGCTCATAGTCAGTTTTTGTTAATCCCTGAAGCAGGGACTAACTTATTAGGGAGGGATTTAAGTTAAAGTTAGAAATAGGCCTACAAGTCAGCCCAAGAGGAATCTTCACCTTATTAAACCTACTCACCATTGCAGATGAAAAATATATGATTCCTAATATCTGGTCCAAAGAGGAAAACTGAGGGAAACTCCGAATCCCTCCAATCCACATCAAGCTAAAAACGCCTGGAGAAGTAGTAAGGTGGAAGCAATACCCCATTCCTGTAGAGGGGAGGATAGGGTTGAAACCTATAACTGAAGGCCTTATCAAAGATGGGCTTCTCAACCCCTGAGTGTCCCCTTACAACATCCCAATACTGCCAGTCAAGAAACCAGATGGGTCATACTGATAGGTACAGGACCTTAGAGTTATCAACCAAATAGTCCAGACTATCCACCCCGTTGTCTCCAATCCTTATACCATTCTCAGCAAGATTCCATATAATCATCAATGGTTTACTGTAATAGATTTACAGGATCCTTTTTGGGCATGTCCCCTGGCTGAAGACAGCTGAGACATATTTGCTTTTGAGTGGGAGGATCCCCATTCAGGGTGGAAACAATAGTATCTATGGACAGTCTTACCCCAAGGGTTTACGGACTCCTCTAAACTTTTCGGCCAAATTTTAGAACAAGTATAAGAAAAAATTGTCATCTGAAAACAAATATGCTTGCTTCAGTATGTGGATGATATTCCTATATCTGGTGAAAATACAGAGAAGGTAACTGACTTCTCTACACATATTCTTAACCATCTGCAGTTACAGGGGCTACGAGTTTCAACAGGAAAGCTTTAGTATGTAGAGCCCAAAGTTAAGTATTTAGGCCACTCAATAAGTGCAAGCAAGTAAAGAATACAGCCTGAACGAGTTGAGGAAATCGTGTCCCTACCCTTGCCTCAAACTAAACAAGAACTCAAGAAATTTGGGGGGTTAGTTGAATATTGCCACTAATTGATTGACTCATATGCACTACACAGTAAACTTTTATATCAAAAACTTGCCCAGAAGCCTGACCGTCTCCTGTGGACTTCTGAGGAAGTCAATCCAGTTGAGGAGCTGACAGAAAGGCTCAAACCTTACCCACCCTAGAAAAGCCATTCCACCTTTTTGTTAATGTGGACAGTGGAGTAGCTCTAGGGGTGCTTACTCAAAAACATGGCTGCCAGGAGCCCATGGCCTTCCTATCAAAGGTCTTAGATCCAGTCACTGTGGATGGCCTCAATGCATCCAATCCATTGCCGCTACGGCAATATTAGTCAAGGAAAGCAGAAAGTTAACCTTTGGAGGAAAATTGACAGTAAGCACACCTCACCAAGTTAGAGCCATCTTAAACCAGAAAGCAGGGAGATGGCTTACTGACTCAAGAATCTTAAAGAATGAGGTCATTCTGTTAGAAAAAGATGATTTAACACTAACCACTGATAATTCGCTCAACCCAACAGGTTTCCTAACAGGGAATACAAACCTAAGGAGAGAGCACAGACATTTAGATTTAATTGATTACTATACAAAAGTTAGATCAGACCTAGGAGAAACTCCCTTTAGGATGGGACGACACTTATTTATAGATGATTCCTCCCCAGTGGTTGAGGGGAAAAGACACAATAGGTATTCAGTAATTGATGGAGAAACTGTAAAAATAGAGTCAGGAAAATTGCCTAACAGTTGGTCTGCTCAAACTTGCGAGCTGTTTGCACTCAGCCAAGCTTTAATGTACTTGCACAACCAGGAAGGAACCATCTATACTGACTCTAATATACCTTTGGAGCGGCTGATACATTTGGAAAAATTTGGACTGAACGAGGTCTCATTAATAATAAAGGTCAAGACCTTATTCACAAGGAGCTAATCACCCAAGTATTGAATAACCTTCAGTTGCCGGAACAAACAGCTATTGTCTATGTTCCTGGATACCAGAAAAGCCTTTCTTTTGAAAGTCAAGGAAATAACCTAGCAGATCAGAGACCCAACCAGGCTGCCGTCTCCTCTAAAATGCCTATTTTCCACTTAACTCCCTACCTTCTACCTCTTATCGTAATCCCCATTTTCTCTTCCACTGAAAAAGAAAAACTAATAAAGATAGTTGCTAAAGAGAATTCAGAAGGAAAATGGATATTGCCAGACCAGAGAGAAATGTTTTCCAAATCCCTTATGAGGAAAATCTTGTCCCAAATACATCAAAGAACCTTTAGTCACCTGTTCCCAGGCCATGTGTGATGCAACTCTCAGAGTTTTTGGGTGTATAGGAATTTATATCCTGGCCAAAGAGGTTACAGATAGCTGCTTAGTAACAAAACTAATAAACAGGCTCTAAAAGATTACCCTGCAGGGGAAGGAATCCAGGGTAAGACCTTTCCAAAGTATACAACTTGATTACATAAAAATGCCTCCAATAGGTCATCTAAAATATTTATTAGTGACAGTACATCACCTCACTCACCGGGTTGAAACTATCCCCTTTCCAAATGCAACAGCTAATAATGTAGTCAAGGCCCTAACTGAAAATATAGTACTCAAGTTTGGACTAATAGAGAATACTGATTCATACAATGGTACTCATTTCACCGCACACATCACTAAAAAGCTATCCCAAACATTAGACATTAGATGAGAATACCATACTCCCTGGCACCAACCTTCATCAGTGAGAGTAGAAAGAACGAATCGGACTTTAAAGAATTGCTTAGCCAACGCAGATTGGATAAATTACATTTATTACAACCAACAGCAGTTTATTAACTATCCTAGAGATGCTCTTAAAGGAATAGCTCAGCAATTAGGGGCTACTAGCCAGATGGCTTAGGAAAACAGAACAGCCTTAGACATGACATTAGTAGAAAGAGGAGTAGTTTGCGTCATGATTAAAACTCCATTTTGTACCATCATCCCAAACAATACCATCCTGATGGAAGTATAACAAAGGCTATCACAAGGTCTAACTGCTCTGTCCAATGAGTTAGCCAAAAACTCAGAAGTAAATAACCCCTTCACAGGGTGGCTAGAAAAAAATGGTTCAGTAAATGGAAAGGAATCATAGACTCAATTCTTACTTCTCTTTCAGCTGTAGTAAGTGTACTTGTTCTTGTTGGGTGTCCTGTCATACCATGCATCTGTGGGCTGGTGCAAAGACTCACAGATGCACCATGTGCTAAAACCTCCCTTAACTCTCCTCCACCTTATTCAGAGAAGCTTCTTCTTTTAGAGAATCAAGCAGAACAACTAAGCCAAGACATGTTAATAAAGTCTGAAGAGAAAGGTAGAAATTCAAGAGGAGGGTGCAGTTGAATATGGTGAGTTCCAAACTTCTTTCCAAGAATCAGCATGCCAGTACATTCAGTTTCTGTGTTCTTTGTTCTCCATTTTAAAGTTTAACTTCCTTGTTCTCTTCCTCTCTTTGCCTCTAGTTTCAGTAAACAACCTTCCCGCCAGCTCTGATCAGTAGTTCATATCTATATTCCTGGTTATCTGTTCCGTCCTGAGTCATACCCGGTCACCTGCTCCATCCTGAGTCACCTCTGGTCACCTGCTCTGACCTGAGTCATCTTTAGTCACCTGTTCCATAACCATGTCTTTCCCTTCAAAAAGACAGAGGTAAAGATGGTTATGGAACAGGTGACTAAAAGCTTGTATCCCTGCTCTCTTTAAATTGCCAATCAGAATCAGCTTAGACTGTGTGGTCTAACCCTAGTCAATAAGGGAACAACACAGCAGTAGGGGCGACCTGTGTCAGGGATAAGAACTCCTTCCTTCTCCTCCCCTGTTCAGGTGTGCTCTCGCCATTGCTCCATCTGCAAGATGCACCTTCTATAGAAGTAAAAATTGCCTTGCTGAGAAAAGTAATGTTTGAGTGCTATTTCCTTTGTGGCACTGAAAATTTGCTTCTAACAGAATTATCTGTTTAAATAATAAAATCATAAACAGACACAGCTCCATTAAAACAAATTATATCCCTTTTAATGCTTATGAAAAACAAATATTTACTGAATGGCTACCAAACCTGTTGCTGACTATATAAAGCACTTTATTTGCTCACTTAATCCTTACAACCCCAAAACTAGGCATCAGCACATTGTGTATAAGGAAAACAGTCTTAAGAGATCTCACACCTAGTAAATGCTAAAACTGGAACTTGTGTTAATCTGTGAAGGCTTCCATAACAGATCACACTCTAAGTGGCTCCGGAGGCTAGAAGTCCAAGATCAGGGTACAGGCAGGGTTGGGTTTTGGTGAGGCCTTTCACCTTGGCTTGAAGATGGCTGTCTTCTCACCGTGTCCTCTCATAGCCTTTTCTCCACATGCATAATCCTGTTCTCCCTTCCTCTTTTTATAAGGAAACCAGTTTTATTGAATTATTGCTCATCTTTATGATCTCATTTAATTAACCCTGATTACCTTGTTAAAGGATCTATCCCAAATACAGGTTGAGGGTTGGAACTTTGGCATATTTTATTAATTTTTGAGGGGAGCACAATTCAGCCCATAACAGAACTCAAATGTAACTCCAGAGCCTGATCTACGGTCCCTTAACTGACTTGATTACCACCCTGTTTTCTGCTGGAATACATGTTCTAAACCAAATCCGAAGGAACCTGACAAAGGAGGTTAATGGTTTTATATACATTACTATACTTGATCCTCCCAATAATGTGGTAAGGCAAGAATCACAAATCATTTCCTCATTTCACAAAGTTCAGGGAGAACCAAAAGCTTGTTGAAGACTACATCCTTTTATTAAAAAGTTAAATGAAGATACATGCCCACAAAATGAGGGCATAAAGCAAGATTGAAGAAAGTGATCCAAAAGCAGTGGATCTAAGTCAAGAAAGCAATGATGTCCTAAACGCAGATCCCTGGTGCGTGGCAAGCCAAGAGAAAACTCCAGTTTGGGGCCAGTGATGAAAGCTTCAGGAAGGAAATCTCCAAGAAATAAGAGGAAATAAATAGGATAGGCAGAAGGAATGAGAAGGGAAAGGAATACCCTGAAAATCTGGGTAAGTCAATTTGGTAAGAGAAAAAAATATTGCTTTGAATGGGACCAAGGTTACAAAACTGGAATATATAGAGAGAAGGAAACATCATCTGCATATTAGGCAGTTCTGCAATAAAAAATATTTATATTAGACATAATAATGTAAAAACACAGACTAAGAAAGACGTAACTATGAATAGAACATGTTATCAATTATATAAAAACGAGGATGGCCAGGTGTGGTGGTTCACGCCTGTAACCCCAACACTTTGGGAGGCTGAAGCAGGTGAATTGCTTGTGCTTAGGAGTTCGCAACCAGCGTAGGCAACATCGCTATTAAAACTACTTTGAAAATTGTAGTAATATCTACAAAGCCTATGACTCAGCAATCCTACTCCTTTATATACCCAAGAGAAATGTGCACAAATGTTCACCAAAAGACATATATAAGGATATTCATAACAACCCTGTCTATCAACAAAATGGACAGGCTGAAGTGCATTCACACAATGGAATACTCCACAGCAAATATAATGAACAAATTACATCTATATGCAACAACATGGATTAATCTCACAAACTACTGTTGAGCTAAAGACAACAAAAATGAGTACACACAGTATGATTCAATTTATACAAAGTTCAAATCAGGCAAACAACAAAAAAACAAAAATAGTGTTAGAAGTCAGGACAGTAGTTACTTTTAGGCAGAGGAGGAGAAGGTAGTGATACAAGGAGCTTCTTGGTTGCTGGTAATACTCTGTTGCTTGTTTTTAATGCTGATTTCATGAGTTTGTTCACTTTGTAGAAATTCATGGACCTAAATTTTCTGATTAGTACACTTTTCAGGTGGTGAGTTATATTTTAATAAAAGTTTAAAGAAAAAATATGCTTTTTTTCTTTTTTTGAGACTGGGTCTTACTCTGTTGCCCAGGCTGGAATACAGTGGTGTGATCATGGCTCACTACAGTCTTGACCTCCTGGGCTCAAGCAATCCTTCTGCCTCAGCCTCCCAAGTAGCTGGCACTGCAGATGCAGGCCACCACATCCAATTATTTTTTTGTATAGGTGGGGTCTTCCTATATTGCCCAGGCTGGTCTTGAATTCCTGGGTCCAAGCAATCCTCTTGTTTTGGTCTCCCAAAGTGCTGGGATTCTAGGAGTGAGCCACCACACTTGGCATGTTTAATTTTTAAATGTGCATTACTTTACTAAGTAAACTTAAAATACATATTTAAATTTATACTTGCAAGAGAAGCCAAGCCTTCTTCTCCTATGTAGATCTGAAAGAACCTTTTGTAACATCGAAAATATGTTTTACTTTAAGATGTCTCTTCAAGTTTGCTCTATAAGCATGCTGAATACCAGCTGGTGACATCTCCATCACATGGCAGCAGTAAAACTGTTTGCAAACACTACAATCTTTAGAGAGAAAGGTTTTACTACAAACCCAATGTAAAAATATGCAGAGGTCTAGATCTACCCTTAACTGCAATTGAGCTTTTATGTTCTTGCCAAAGTGATAAATCTGCTAGAGTTTTCAGATCAATAAGAGAAAACTTTGCAATAATTACAGCTAGTGAAAAAACATGGCTATCTTAATATGTAGCAGCAAGCCTGCTATCTCTAGAAATATTCAGGCAAAGGTTAGACGAGGATTTGTGAAGAAGACAAAAAGAACACAAAAAGAAGACAAAAGAACACAAAACTTAAAATCATATATATATATAGATTGTTATCCCCATCCCCCTCCATCCTTTTACTGTTAAAATTTCTCTTCTTTTGTTCTATGTTCCTCATTGGCCTGGTTTAGGTTTTTCACTGATTGCCGAGAACGTTGGGACTTCTGAAATTGTTTCCTTTCCTTAAAAAGAGTACTTTCTTAAACCAAAAACAAACCCTCTCTTTTTGTTGCTGTAAATAAAAAGCTACCTCACAGGACTATTACAAAGATTTAGAGTTCTCAGGTGAAACACCTAGTCAAGTTCGTGGCTTGTTATAAGCACACAAATTCTGGTTTTCCTCTCTTCTCTATGCGCAAGTATTATTACTTCAAACTGGCTTCCTCACTGAATCCCTGAAGATCCTAGAATGCCCTGATTCTGTTCCTTTGTGATCTCTCCTACCCACAATATACACTATCCCATCTCCCTATGTCTAAAGCTAAACTATTCTTTAACAGCTACCTCAAATACCATCTCACCTGTTTAACAAATAGGCTTACTTTAGGGAGACCAAAGTTAGATATTCAGATACTGCTGTCATATTTCAAACTCAGGAATACACATAATACTACATCATTTCTAAGGGAGAGAGTAAACAAGCAGCTATAAACGGGCAATTAGGAGTCCTATGTGGTTTATGCCTTTCAGTCAGGCAGTTTTGCCTCTATCACATTAAGAACTAGCAAAAATAAATGTTCTCCAAATTCTTCTACACCAACTATATAAACTAGATAACTCAGTGAGTGATCATTTTCAAAATGTTTCTTCATTTATTATGCTTCAGAGGCAGTACTCCTTCAAATAATGAGTTCCCCCTGCTGCATTAAAAATATAATTTGCAAAACCTCAATTACTCACAACTCTTATGGCATACATTATCATGCAAACTATGGCACACTAATGCAAAACTAAGTATAAGCCAGGAAGAAAACAAAGTACAATGGTTCAAAATACTCTTCATTTTCTGTACTGGTAAACTATGAATCTAAATTTGGAATTTTCAATTTTACTTAGACACTTCAATTCATATTACATTAAAAGGACAATTCATACACAAGGCTCCTCTATGTTTGCCAAGGCTAGTACTTCCATATTGCTCCTCCTGAGAAACTGTACCTGCTAACCTCTCTGATCCCATACCTATGTGGTAAGCTCCTTTCTGCTCTTGAAGTTCTACTTCAGTCGCCTTCTCTCTGTAACCTGTCCTTCCCCTTTGCCATCAGGTAATTGTTTCCTCACCTGTGTTCTAAAAGCACTTTATATACGCTCCGTTTTGCTACTAACCATACTATTTACTTATCTGTCTCCATCTTTCTAGCTCTCCTGCAAGATCCCCTCCTCCCAACTAAATTGTGAGTTGCCTGAGAAAAGAAAGCTTACATTTATAGGCAATATAGAACAGAAGAGCAGACTCTGGAGCTAGACAGTTTGGCCTGGAATCCTATTGTGCCACTTCCCAGCAATATAGTCTTGAGCAAACTTCTGACCTTGACCAAAATATAAGCCTCAGTTTCCTCAGAGGCAAAAGAAGGAAAACAATTACACCTACCTCACAGTGCTGTTACAAGAATTGCATTGAATAATGAAAAGCACTTAGTACCATGCCAGCAAATACTCAGCAGTATTACTGTTCAGCTTAAATTACAGGTATTAAACAAAATGCTGGCACATAAACTGGTACTTAGCATATACCCACTGAAATAAAGAAGCTACTTAATGTTATGAAATACAGCTCAAAATGGCATAACTTTTAATTACACAATACTTAAATTTTTCTGAAAATCTTCAGAAGTTTCTAGAAGAAGTGCCATTAAGGTGTTGTTAGTCGGCTCTATTACAATCATGATCTATTTTTTTAAATGTTATTATATGATCATTTTTCTAAGACCATATGGGCCTTGAGTCTTCTTAGAAAAGATAGTGTCTGAATCTCATTCATCTTTAAGTCATTATAATGAATAGATCCAGATCTCAGTTTAATTTGTAAACTATCGACTGGTTTATTCCATCTTCAATCCTTTTTTCTTCTGTCAACTGAGAGTTTCCTGCAGATTCTATTTTTAGAGACAATTGTGCTAAATCTAAAAATGCCTAATATTTAACATAATTTTCTTAACATCATTTAATAAGTTTTAAAAAAATGCTGAGACATTTGTGACATAAAAAGGAATAAGAAAAATTTAAAAAGGAAAAACTCAATTCGAAGATTATCATTAAAATCTGAAAATAAAGAAAACACACAAAAATACTAATTTATTCCACAGAAATAATAAAGGTAATTCCATAGATATTCAAAATTTTAAATCATTTCATTTTACTGACGAGAAATAAGTCTATTTAGACCTTAGTCTAAAAACACAGGTACACTAACATCCAGGCCCATGCTCTTTTAGGAATAAAGTTATATTTAAATGCTCCAGACTAACAATGTTAACTATAGTTTGCAGAAGTCATGTTATTGTTATTCTTAACTGCATTTACAAAAGCTAAGTCAGGCTGGTGTGATAAAAGAATAATATGTACTTTACCATTAATCTATCATTAAGGTAGATATCCTAATCTGGGAGAGGGGAGAGGGAAGTAATCAAGGGAAAACAAATGGGAAAAAGAAAAATTAAAAATAACCCAGATAGTTCATAAGTCACAAGTGGGTAATTAACGAGATTACTATTTGAAAAATGAGTTCATTTTGTCTCATCTAAAGTTTTGGAATACTCCCTGCCCCCACTTTCCTGATATAGAATCTTTTAACTTTCAAAAAAAACTAAGGTATTTAAAAATATAGAATGTTATTAAACTTACAACTTTTCACAGAGACAAACTTTTTTCCCTAGTAAAAGCAATAAAACAGTAAAATGTTTAAAGACAATAAAAGAATGCATTCAAGTCTAAATTAATTTACAAAGTTGAAATACAATATAAGATAATGCTTATGTTAAACTGCTATGTAGAAAATCAGGGCCAGGCATGGTGAGTTACGCTTGTAATCCTAGCACTTTGGAAAGCCAAGGCAGGTGGATCACTTGAGACCAGAAGTTCAAGACCAGCCTGGCCAACACAGTGAAACCCCTGTCTCTGCCAAAAAACACAAAAATTAGACAGGTGTGGTGGCATACATCTGTAGTCCCACCTACTTGGGAGGCTGAGGCACCAGAATCACTTTAACCCAGGAGATAGAGCTTGCAGTGAGCTGAGTCGCACCACTGCACTCCAGCCTGGGTGACAGAGAGAGACCCTGCCTCAAAAAAAAAAAAAAAAAAAAGAAAATCAGGATACACTGTTGAACAGAGCATGATCACTGCTATATAAAGCAAACCAAAAGTCTGTGATTCCAAAGTGTTAGGATTATAGGTATAAGCCACTGTAATCTGGTCCACACAGTAGCTCATGCTTATAATCCTAACACTTTGGAAGATGAAAGTAGGCGGATCACTTGAAGTCAGGAGTTCAAGACCAGCCTGGCCAACATGGTGAAACCCCACCTCTACTAAAAATAAAAAAAAATTAGCCAGGCATGGTGGCAGATGCCTGTTATCCTGTAACCAACGGACAGAGTGAGGGGTGGGCGCATGTCCTGAACACGCTCCCAGTTCCTGGATCTGAGGTCCTTGGCCTCTCTTACCCCAAAGAATGGGGAAAGGGGCCCCGGAGGCACAGTAAGCTTAACATTTGAAGAAATACTGTGGACCCAAAGAGTTTTGCAGACAGCAATTTATTACGGAGAGAGAGAGAAAGAAGGAGAGGCAGTTCTCACGCTGCTGTTGGAGGGGATCCAAAGAAGGAATCCCAATATGTAAGGATCAGCAGAGTTTTAACCCTGGAGTTATTCCCTCCTCATTCATGTTCTTGTCCAATGAGAGGGGTTCTTTGAAACTTCCTCTGGAGTGATTGATCTTTGACTCTGATACTGGATTGGCTGCTTGGTGCGCAACAGAGGCCCCTCCTCCCAGAGCTTTCCATTGGCTTTTTGGACGAAGCCTACCTGGATTCCTCTACCTAGCCCACGGGAAGGAAACCCAAAGAACTTTACATTCCTGGATTGGGGCGTGGATGGAAGCATGGCACTGGAAAACTCCTGCCCTTGAAACCATGCCCCTCATGGATTCAGGAAGAGAAGTTTTTTTTCCTTAACACAGTCGCTCAATCCCAGCTACTAGGGAGGCTGAGGCAGGAGAATCACTTCAACCGGGAAGGGGGAGGTTGTAGTAAGCCCAGATGACGTCACAGCACTCCAGCCTGTGCAACAGAGCGAGGCTTCATCTCAAAAACGAAAAAAAATACTATACGATCAAAAATGTGAACATTACTTGGATTATTGTTAAAATTTATTTTGTATCTGATAAAAATATGAGATATACATACTTAGTATTTATGGGTAAAATACATGGGTTTTGCTTCAAAATAATCTATGGGATTAAGGAGGAAGGGGAGTTAGAGATGGGGCATGAGTTGACAACTGTTAAAGATGAATGACAGATCATGAATGACAGATCATGAGTGTTCATCTTACTATTTTTTTTACCTTAGAACTATGTTTGAAATTTTTCATAATAAAAAGTCAAAATAAAAAAGTTCCCTGTTTCTTAAACCGTACACTGGATATGATATAAAAGCATGAGACCTGAGTTTCGATTTGAGTAAGTCATTTAAGCTTTTTGAATTTGTATTTATTCATTTATAAGTGAAATGTCACTATTATACTGTGAGAATTCAATGGATAATATGCATATAAAAGTATAGTATTCTACTAGCCGAAAGCAGTAGTTCACTAAATTTATTGGGGTGGTGCAAATATAATTGCAGTTTGCCATATAAAAGTAATGGAAAAACCACAATTACTTTTGCACCAACCTATGGTCCCCTTTCTTTCCCTTTCATTCCCCTCTCTTCTTTCATGGACTATAATATAGTTGTTGTTGTTTTTTTTTTTAACTGACTGCTGACCCTTAACCCTTACTGCTGCATTCCACAGCTACTTTTAATACCCACCATCCCTTATCTTTCTCTTCCCTCTGATTTTCTTCTCCTGGGTTTTCTATTATTTACTCACTTCTCAGCTTCTTTTTGACAAGGGAGTTTAAAGTAGTATTAAATCAATACTTGGTCTTGAATTTTGGCACCAATACTTACGAGCTTTGAGACCTTGGGCAAGCTACTTGGAACTCTGAGAGCCCCAGTTTCTTCACCTATGAAAGTATAATAATAATAATAACAGCACCTATTTTATAGAGTTATGTAAAGACTAGATATTTCTCATAAGGCATTTGGCCCAGTGAGGTGCTCCAGAAATATTCCCTATCAAACCTTCTATTTATCTATAATAAGGATGGTCTCCTATAGACATGTCAGGCAGCAAGCTTCTTCCCTTCCATAAGGAACTACTTCAGGACTCAGCATTCACCATGTATGATGGTCCCAGCTCATGGCTGTCTGTCGTCCTTGGGCTTCAGATTCCACATGGCCATGATTTCAGTCCCATGCTAGTTGATTTTTTAAAAATTGTGTGCTTTGTGATGATATCATTTGTAAGTGCAAGAGAATGAATTAACAATAGTCAGGGCTGGGAGCGGTGACTGACGCCTGTAATCCCAGCATTTGGGGTGGCCAAGGTAGGTGAATGGATTGAACCCAGAAGTTCCAGACCAGCTTGGACAACATGGCAAAACCTTGTGTCTACAAAAAACACAAAAATTAGCTGAGCGTGGTGGAGCATGGCTGTAGTCTTAGCTACTGGGAGGCTGGGGTGGGGGGATCACTTGAGCCCAGGCAGTTGATGTTGCAGTGAGCAATGAGTGTGCCACTGTACTCCAGGCTGGTTGACAGAGTGAGACTCTGTTTCAAAAACAACAACAGGCTGGGTGTGGTGACTCATGCTTGTAATCCCAGCACTTTGGGAGGCCAAGGTAGGCGCCACTTGAGGCTAGGAGTTAGAGACCAGCCTGGCCAACATGGTGAAACCCCGTCTCAACTAAAAATACAAAAAATTAGCCCAGCGTGGTGGTGCATGCCTGTAGTCCCAGCTACTCAAGAGGCTAAGGTGGGAGAATTGCTTGAGCCCAGGAGGCGGAGGTTGCAGTGAGCCGAGGTGGTACTACTATATTCCAGTCTGGGTGACAGAGTGAGACTCCGTCTCAAAAACAAAAACAACAAACAAACAAAAAGTCAGTATGTCTCTGTACCTTAGTTATCACTTTTGTAGTTCTGTATCATTAAGTTTTATAACTAAGCTCATATTAAAGTGAATATATTAGAAAACTGACTTCAGAAAACCGACAGAAAATTGTTCTATTTACGGAATTCCTTGAAGTGTACTCTATCATCCTTTGGGAAATTATTTTAATTTCTGTATTCCTACAGAGAAAAAAGTATTCTGGAATGGTTATCAAATTAATAATAAAGATAACAAATACTGTTGCAAAAAAAAATTTCTCCTGCTCATCCATATACCCTCTACCTAACATAAAATACTCACATTTATCCAAGCTCCTAATTCTGCATAGAATGATCAAGGTCCAAAATGCCTCACAATTTTCTCAAGTGGTTTTATATATATGCTGAACAAAAGAGTGATAATCAAGGGTGCAGGTCCCTCATAATAGAACATAACAGAGCTGGTGACTAAAAGATGAGTCAATGTTAACTGATAGTGTACGCACCAGAGAGATAAGGTATCAAATGAAACAAGTTGCTCAGGAAACCAAAGTAATTCTCTTGACTATGTCTGGCAAATCTCATATCTTCTCATGTTCATCACAATCCACAATGTAAGGGTCCCTTAAGATGGCCTATAATCAATTAAATCAAAATTCCGTTTTCTTACTGCTAAAAAAAATGGGCAAACCTAAACTCCTATTCTTTTCTGTTCTTCTCTACCAGCTCCCCTCAACACACAACTTTGAATAATATAAAAATGACCACTGTGTATATTTCTAGCAATTCTGTAAATTATGCAACTCTGATATATGTCCTTGATTCTCACAACTCATAATAATGTACAGTATTACAAGCCTTATTTTACAAAAGAGGAAACTAAAGATGAGGAAGCTAAACCAGCTTGTCTGTGATCATATACTAAATGGTGCAGTCAAAACTGTAACAAATCCACTCAAGTAAATAGTGCAGTCAAAACTAACAAATCCACTGAACCATATATGTCTTACAACAACAAAGCATGCAAGCAATACTAGATAGCAACTGAAAATAATGTACATATTAAACATTTTTAAAGCTGACTAAGAAAGTGAGGCAACAGAGGTGGCTTCTTTACATATGGGTAAAAATTAATAAACTTCAGGTCAAACTAGCGGTTCTCACACATTTTGTTCTCAGGACCCCTATAAACTTTTTTAAACTACTGAGGATTCCAAAGAGCTGCTGTTCATGTGGATTATGTATATTAACATTTCTCATATCAAAAATTACAAATGATAAAAATTTGAAACATAAGAATATACAAAGCTCACATTCCATTAGCTGTCAGGGCGATGATGTCATCAGATATTTAACTTCTGTAAAACTTTACCATGTATTTGTGAGAGAACAAGGGTAAGAAAGGCAGATAACATTTTTGTATTATTATGAAAATAATTTTGACTTGATTTGGTAGACCTGCCAACCCCCTGTCCCTCAAAGGTCTGGAAGATCCAAATCACACTGTGAAAAACCACTGAGTCAGACTGTAACAACTCTGAGCCGTGGCAATTTTTTTTTAAATTATATATTGTAACCCATTACCTTAACTTTAAGTATACTTTCTCACTACCAGATTTTTAAAAATTACCTTGAAAGGACTGTTTTAATTTACATCCTGTTAGCACTAACTCTCTCTGTAGTGTGTTGTTCTCGGACAAAGATGGTGTTAAACATTTACTGAATAAATTGAATCTCTTCTGAAGTCCTGTGCACTCTGGACAAAGATGGTGTTAAACATTTACTAAATAAACTGAACCTCTTCTGAACGCTTGTGGACTGAATGAGATAAAACACTCACTGAAGGAGATAAAGACTGTTGTGACTGTACTGAACTTGATGTACAGATCTTTTGTTCTTATCCTTATTCCCTAAACAATACAGT